CTATCAGGAGTACCATCATTCCTCACCGCCTCCCAAACTCGTTTTGCCGAAGATTCAGGTCTCTTCTTGTAATTCCTATAAGCTCGCTGGATAACTACTGCATAGAAATTCTCAAACTTATAGTTATAGTAGTATTTAGGAATCAAGAATCCCCAAGATCGCTTCATTGAACTTCCTAAAAATACTTCGATATATATTAGAGGATCTAACCCAGAATAGGTAGACCATGCATAATGATTTTATCCCGCAGGTGGTACATTTTATAATTATACTAGGCGATCATATATGCAGATTATATAGCGTAAAAAAATTAAGAATGTTATACATTGCACATTTGGCTAAATGATATTAATTTTCAATAGTTTATAATTAATATATTTCTCGGAATAAGTCAGTTAAACGAATGTGATTTTTGTCCCATCTTTCAATCTTAATGCGGGTTGATTAAGATTATTTATAGATGGTAGTAAGTTATTTTGTTTTGCATATCGAGATGAAATAAATATTTCACTTGTATTACTTTTGGAGTTTGATGATTGATGTGAAATTGGCAAAACCATTTCTTGCCTGGCAGGTAAAATATAAGCTGGCTCGAAATTTGGAGCACTTGGCATAGTATTTTTTGCTACGGTTGCTTTAGATTGTGCATAAGATTCATAGTTATCTGTACGAGTATCACGATCATATGATATTGATGCTAATGAATCCTTCTCTGAATGAAAAAGAGGCTGGGATGTAAGTTCTAGTTGGAGACGCTTAATTTCTGCCTCTTCCTGCAATATGTATTGTTTATATTGCCAGATGGCATATTCTGTTCTATCAATAGATTGAAGAACTTCTTTTCTTCTTGCATGTTCATCCGAAATAGTATTTCCAGAAATACATCTCTTCAAGTGGCTATCATGATAGAGATGATCGCTATAATAATCACTAGGTATGAAAACTGAGGAGTCACATACACTACAATATATATAATTGGTTGGACGACGCTGGACTCTATCATTTTCATAAAGCTTTCCATGCATTATAATATATCCATTCATAGAAAGGATTCTTGGATTATCTTCAAGTATTTTCCTAAATGGATCACGGATACGAGAGCACCACATTTCTGGTGATTCATGATCATATCGTTCATGTAAAGGAATTAATGCTTTAAGTATTCTTCTATATTCTTCAGAGCCTCCATAAGTATTGTGTTCATGTTGTAGTTTATAATAGGCTCTACTATCTAAATCCATATTAGCGTTTTAGTAGATTATAATAGATTATAACAATTTATTGATTTATAGTGTTTTTAGCGATTTTAGCCGATTTAGCAATATTACTAATAAATATCAGATTCATTTTTATAAGCAACTTTATCGATTTGTAGCCGATTTAGTGAGACTACATATTGCTAAACTCAAATTCATTTTTATTCGATTATAAGCATATCGGGGGATTTACAGTATATAGGGTTATATCTCGGCTATGCTAATTTTATATTATGCACAACGCTTTCGGCTAAATCTCGAGATGAGGTACAGATCGGCCAATCAGATTCTGTATAGCTAAAAAAGAAACGTCATAACTGAACACCATATCACCAGGGCATTGTATTCTTTTTTTTTGATCTGGGATTGGTTATCTCCCGCAGATCAAGGGAATTTATATTCACATGCATGTAGATTAATTTATACAGTATCGCATATCAATTTCGCAGATGTATCTAAAAAAGAACAAACCCGATGCGGGCAAACTATTACTTTTTATTTATGCTTAACTACACAAAAATGAAAATTCTGGGCACGCGTGCCCGCTAATTGCGCAGTAATGTGGCGCAGTAAACGATCCCGGTGAAAGAAATTACTGCATGAGAAATTCTTATTATACAGAAAAAAAAATCGAAAACTCGGCTACCCAAACTACCCAAAGATCCCTCTCAAAAATAATTTTATTGTGAATTTGACTTAGTTTTATGACTGTCTTACGAATATAAAAGTCCGATTCTAATGTTATGTAATTAAATATACTGAGGAATCTCTTATACTATATTATACTCTTGACTTCACTTTTTTTTCACTTTTCTTCCTTTCTGTATACCGTTTTTCTACCTCTTTGTCTTTGCGTTTCTTTGTTTCTTTGGTGTTGGATGGACATCAGGCATATCAAGAGATCGTTTTGAATTTGATTTTATCTGCTGTTTCCATCTTGAAACATTACTATTATCGTCTAGATCATTCACAATCTTCATCGTTTGTAGGATTAAAAACTAGAAAAGAAGTTAAATTACTTTCAAGAGATGCTTAAGGACTCACATAAATGGGATATTTACCTTTGCATGTATTATTTCAACTAACACATCTAAAGATCTTCCGAAGTTGTTTACATCCGCGTAGACTTCTAATAGATTTCTCCTGGTGTACCGGCAAATGTACCCGGCCGGGCAATCAAGACTGACTCTCATCAACACCGCACCTTAAAAAAAATCATTAAAATCTCAGAAAGTTGATTTGAGAAGGTCAAGAAATACTAACCTGCATGAATAAAGCCAATTATGTTCAGCTTTCTCATTTTTTGTTCTTCAAAATCAATCTTGCCAGCAAGATGGACGAAAATATCCTTAAGGGTTCTCGGTAAACTTAGACCAGACTCTTTCATTAATTTGGTGCCGTGTGGACCATCCCATTTATGTCCAGCTTCTGACCCCGCCCAATCGGTTGATGTTGAACCAATCGTCCTGACATATGCATCTCCCTTTTTACCGATTTTTTTTCGTTGGGTTGGTCCTATGTTTGCTAAGGTTCTGTATCGGTTTTTCCGTTCTGAGCAGGCCAACCCGGCTTTTTCACCTCTACATTTCAAAAATCGGATTTTAATTCCTTTGAATTTGAAAAGAATGAAGCATTTTTACTTACCCAACAACATAAACATAAGGTGTATCGGAAAACATTATATCGATCGTTCTCCAGACATTGATTCGGTGCCATGCTTCTGGCATGTCCATAGTGAGAGGGTTAGGTTCCATCTCAAGTATTCGAACCCTGTACAATATTGGCATGTTAATCTATTGCAGGAAAAACTCATTCTATAAAGGTTTCCTTGCCTCTTACCAATCAGTTACCGTAGTCATAAATAAAATTAGTATGTGGGTCATAATTTCTTCCTAATAGGGGATGGGGTGTGTTCAAAGCTTCTCGTATTTCTTTGGTAGATTTCTGTACAGGTAACTGTTAGTTGACAAATAACCATAGAAAAGATCAATAAAAGAACAAACTTACCTTGGCAAATGTGTCGATGTATTCAAGAATCTCTTCGTCGATTTCCGGTATACTTTGTTCTTTCTTTTTTTCAACAATTTCGGATAATTCCTCTTCTGAAACTCATCCTTAATAAAGGTATCCTCAGTATCGATGATAAAAGAGTGAACAAGACTAAATACAAAAATCAGTAATTTCTCCTCGGATGCAAAAAAACAGCTTAGTATAATGTGACACAACTCTTACTTATGGTATCGGCATTGCATCCCAAGCTTATAAAGCACATCTTCAACAAATCTTTCCGACCTCAATTTCCATTTCCTCGAGCTGTCCAATGCTTCAAATCTAAATCCAACAATAATTAGTCATCATTCGCAACACAACTGAAATGCAAAAATAAAAATAGAATACCTTTGTTTGAAGAGGTTCATATCTTTTAAGCCAAATTCATCCTCATCGCTGTCGTGATCATTTGACTTAAAAAACAATATCGCATTGCAGATCAGAAACAAGATTACAAGAAGCAAACAAAAAAAATATTACTACCTCAATTGAATCGCCCAAATTTTGAGAAATCTCCTATAGCACAAATACAACATTATGGAAAAGGTCGAACAAACTTTACATCAAACAAGATAAAAAACAAACAGACTTACCGAAGAATGAATTCCATGAGATTGTTCTTCACATGAAGCGAATGGTTTGGAATAGTCACCTTGTTTTTGATAAATTTGGTGTTCAGGTGTTTTTGGCGGTTCATCGTTTGCCTTTTCAGATCGAAGACATTGGTTACTAGACAAAAAACCTACAAGATCTAGACCGATATTGTTTACTGTCAACGGAGTTCTTACCTTTCCAACCATCGATTCCGATGCCTCTCTCAAATCATTCCCTAAATCTGAAAATATATGCATTGGTAATGTAATGAACTTGTAGCACACATTCACTTGTAACATACCGCTAATTATAGCATCATCATCTTCTTGCTTGTTGTAGTTCTCGTCATTTTTACTGCTGGAAGAACTAGATGATATCTCACATTCTTTCGTGCTAGCTTTATGTTTTTTTGATTTCTCTGATATCTGCTCTTCGGCTCGTCCAATTTCTTCTTGTATAGTAATACTTTTGATAGTGCGCTAACAATAGACAGTTAAAGAAAATCGTAAACACCATGTATAATGTTACGTTTAGTAAGATCAAAAACAATACATACTCTATGTACCCGATCCGAAATAGCTATCGATTTTAATTCTTCGAGATGCTTTTCCCATAACAAAATATTCGCGGAATCTCCATCAGAGTTCTTAGCGAAAATATGAAAGAAAGTTAGTCCGAAGTGTTTTATCGTAGATTTTTTAATTGATTGCCTGTTAGCCACACATGCTATAATGGAGCCCAAAGGATCAGACTATAACATGCTTCCCACTTCAGACAACAACGTATGTTGTCTTGTGCGAAAAAATCGCTCAGAACATGACTGCAGGGTCATAAGCTAATAATATCAATGGTGCTACCGACGCATATTACAATGGGACCTATAATTCCAGACCATAATATACTTCCCACTTCAGACAACAACGTATGTTGTCTTGTGCGACGAATCGCTCAGAACATGACTGCAGGGCATGGTAATGTGCACCTATAATAAAACATAGTAAGAAAGACACTAACCCCCAAAGCCTTTTTCAACGCGTTTGCCTTCGAGTATTGTCGACTTGTGCTTGGAAATTTATTAAGAAGGATATTAAGCTCAATACCAAGGTTTCGATGTGATTCGTCTCTAGTGCAACCAGGAGTTTCCTCAATAAATTGAACATCCCAATCGCTCAAGCAACCCCAAGAGCTTGGGTTACGACTCCAGTATGCTAGAAAGAGAAAGCGAAGATATTGAAGTTGCTTCTTGTGATCATAGAAGTTTTTAGCAGAAGCTTACTTGCATGGTGAAGACCCCAGCTTTCCATTTCTTCAGCTAAATTTTCCGTTGCAATAATCGTGGGCGTGGACATGGTTAATATTTTACGTGTTTGTTAGGATAAAAAATTTTTTTGGATAATCTGAACTTACACCAATCGGTCATGTGCCAATTTAATATGAAAATTATGCGCAGTTCTGTCAATCGGCCAATTAAAAATGCCCGAAGTGTGAGAAGCTTTATTAATGATTTTTATTTCTATCTCTATTGCTAACTACGAGATTTTCACCCCCCATCTACACTAGATTTCCGAAATAAATTACCCCACCCATATCTACAGAATTTTTGTCTATCTATAACACTATCATCCGTACAGACTATGTAAAAGATCATTTCCCACAAGAGAACTTTTCCGAGATAAAGTAATTTCGAACCTACAGTATAAATTCGGAAGATTAGCAATTGAGAAAAAAATAAGCAATAATTACCCTAAACGTTTTTTATTTGCAATACATTAAGCTAAAATAAATTACATGAGCCCTGGCCTGGGTATATGATGCCATTCTATGACTGTAGACTATTTAATATACATGATTATTGATATTTCTCTATTCTAGCTTTTTTTTCTTTGAGGCAAAGTTCGAGACGTAGTCCTGATACATGCTATGTCATATGATAATCGTGAAGACTCTTCTCACTTCCAACCAATAGAAGCAGTTAATTATATTATGATAATTTCAGTGACGTATGGTATATATGATGCAGGTTCGGAAAAAAGAAACAGCCTGTCGAAAGATTCGGCAAGAGTTTTTCCGGCGCATTTCAGGTGATCAGTCATCGCATGTATTTTTGCATAAGCCACTCCTCACGTGATGCTGAGAGAACGTATCTTTTGCATCGCGCCTTTAACTAAAAAATGATTATTTGTCCACAAGTTTCAGGACCTTTATTTTCGGCATCATTAAGCAAATCTACCACTCTTTCCGTAGTTGTCACTTGGTGTAATGTCGCAATTGATCCACGGCTTAACCATCCTTTTTTACCTTGCCCCATTTGAATGATGAAATCAGTTATGCGATTATCTATTTTATTTCTATAATATTCTGCTTTGGAGACAAGTCCATCTTGACTGGATGCATCACGAAATGCCTTCATACTAAAGAGTTCTCTCATTAAGGAGTGATATGCTTTTTCTCTTGGATCATCGCATTGGTTTTCGAGCTTAATCGAAAGATTAATAAAGTTATCAACCCAAGGCATATTTTTTTGATCATATGATAATACTTCATGAACTTCATCAACTACTAGACCTTGATGAATAAGTTCTCGCAATTCTGTATCCGTTACTGTAACGCTTTTAGACTGGATCTCATCGGCTGATGTTGAAGTTGCCGATGGTGTGGATCGATTATGCCTCTTATTCTTTTTACGAACCATACTCTTAACTTTAGAAGAGTGAATTCAAAATATCGTATAAAAAAATATTATCAAACATGTAACATAATTACTGCGGAGAGGTATAGATGACGTTTTACTGTGTACGATATCTAAGCCACCCACGTGATTCGAAAAAAAATGAAAGAAACAAAGTAATAACCAGTCAATGTGAGTATCCTAGGCAGTTACCGGAGAGATAATAGGACTCATCATTGGGGACTCTCTCCTTTCGCATCTTCCATCACGATAATAATAGCCTCTATCACATTCACCATATTCATTATATCCACTGTATCTATCATATCCATCATCATCCGAATCGTCTGGCATATCTTCTTCAGAATCGTTGTCGTGACTACAGTCATTATCATCATTCGTTTCTTCTACTGGATGGGGTGCGGAATCATGATCGACTTCCTCATCAAAATATACATCATCGTCTGACTGGACCCTAGGGGACCCCTTAACTTCATTCACCTCTTCTTTCTCTAACCTAGCCGAGTTCTCGTATGCTGTGTCCCAATTAGCAGTCTTATCGTCAAGACTTCCCGTGAGTATATTTATATAATCATCCAAATCGGCCGATAAGAATGAAGTTAATGATTTGGCCAGAGTATTTACTTTAATTTTCTTTATCTCTCCGTTCTAAGTTCGTGAATCTGGCTTCATGTTCTTCCAAAGCATGCTTTAACTTCACATTCTCAGCCTTGACTTCAGCATTCTCCTTCTTAAGTTCAGTATTCTCGCCTAAGAGCTTCGAATTTATTTCTCTCAACGAATCGATCTCAGATTGCATGTTTGATAATATTTTTTTATACGAGATGGAATAATTCAAAAGTTTGAGTTAGATATATAAATAATAAAAAAATCACACATGGCATTTTCAAGATTTACAACAAGAATGTAATATATGCTTTATTATAAAATTTAAAAAACGTTGCCAGATTCTGGCCTACAATACATAAAAATTGCGAATATATCGCTACATGATTTGAATAAAAAATACTAATTATTCATTTTAGGAGGTCACTAGATTTCGAACCGATCTTTTTCACAAAATAAACTCCTAATGCTCCTTCTCGGTTATCTTAATTTATAAAATAAGACCTATTAGGATAATGAGAATCTCATCAATAAAATACAGCTATAAGAAATATTTAATTACTCACATAGTCCCTTAATGTAGTCCTCAAGTTTTAATGCCTGTCTTAATGTCATTCCATATTCCTTTAAATCCCAACCTATTAGCCTGAGAAATACATCACCAGTGATATTTTCATCACGAAGCTTTGTAAAAAAGTTATCATCAAGTTCTAAGTCTTCTAATTTTGAATCACTCCTCAAAAAGCTGATAAGTCTTCAGTTTCCCATAGTTTTATCATTTTGGCCAGAAAGACATCTTGCTTTCCTAAATACAAAAGCCCATAGTGAGAAAAACTTGCTCTCATTCATATACAACTTCTGGCATATACATATCTTAATTTTTTGCGGAAAGTTGGTGGACGGGAACTTTCATATACCGCTACATGCTTTATATTCCGCTGAAAAAAAGAGATAAAAAAAGTGATTAGTATTTTCGTCTGACGCCAAGAGTCCCTTGAAAGCACATATAAACAGAATCTTCATACCTTTTTATATGTAGATCTACCGGAAAGACATATAGTTGGCTTTATGCCTAGTGATCTCGGAATTGTGAGTCCACCAGCCTTTCATGATATATACTTTGCTATCAGTATTTACTTTTACAGTAGGCCCCGTGTTGCAACTAGACCTCCTTTCACATTTTTCTCACATTTGTTCGGGAAAAAAATAAAGGTACTGGTTAGTAAATATATATGCAAAATTAATATGCAAAATGTCGCACAGACCTATTATGTGATCAGCCTATTTTTGTCGCACATGAGTACAATGCATTAGCCTGTATTCTGGACTCGAAATTTTTCACACTAAATACAGTATATTACTTTATTATAGCAATCATGACAAATAATAGCGAAACGCTTGCTCAGTTTTATGGAGTACTTTTATATAAGAAGAAGGATATAGTAGCTATTCAGAAAAAACTCGGTATCGATGGCAATGCAAATAAATTAGTAGTGCCTTCAGATTTTGAGCTCATGGGAAAAACACTTGCTGATTCATATGAGTTGTTGTTAGATTTGGTGGGAGATATGTTACCAATACAGGAGGAACTCAACATTGAAGGCAGTTCCATCCTAGAAGTAGAACTTAGGAGTTATAAAACTTCTATGGATATATCATATAGGCAAATATATAATTTGCTTTTATGTTTAGAAGATGATATAATGACAATTCAGGATAAACTCAGTATTGTTGGTTATACTAATCAAGAAATGGCAGAAGAGGCTGATAAAAATGCAAGAGAATATCTTCGAAAGTTTGAAGAATTCCATGGTCCCTTAGAAGATAGTCTAGATGTGATACTAGAGAAATTTGGCGAAGTGGAAGTAAAGAAAATTTGGTTTACCGGGAAAGACTTCCATTATTTCTGAAGGTCTTTTCTCAACAATTGCACGAAATTTTCATCAAAAATCCAGCTAGCGCCAGTCAGTGCCTATGTCTAGAACAAGTTAGCTAATCTATATTTTTTTTTGTCGCACAGGGTATATCTAGATGCAAAAAAAATCTTCTGAGCTGATCACTTATCCAGATTAGTTAGATCGATAGAGTATCACCATTCTGGGGCTAAATTCTTTCACTAGCTCTATGTCGCCAGCGCATCTGAGATAGAACCAAATTCTGATTATCTCGCATACTTAAATCTAAAAGGCTCTGAGCTAAAATCTGTCTACTAGCAACGTTATTCTGTGTAAGATAATTTATAACCACTCCAATGAGGTCAGGAGGCATTATAGTATCCATGAAATTCACGATATTAATATTGGGATTAAGTGAAATGACCTGATCTACAGCTTCTTTACTAATTTTAAAACACCCTTTCAGATTTAGATATTTTAAATTAAGACTTGATTTAGCAATTTCTTCAATAGTTATATCAGTAATTTCACAATAGTTAAAATCAAGTCATTGGAGTCTTAGACAAGAATGAATAACATTACAAATTAATATTTTAGAAAACTCTGTGCGATTAGAAATATTTAGACATTCTAATTTATGACATGAATCTGTGATTGCAGTTAGACCTTCATCATCCACTTCTCAAGCACGAAAACCCCTAAAGCCACCTAACCAATCATCACACAGATCGAAATACTTCAGATTCAGGTATGAACCCGCTATCAGTTCTAATGCTCTATTACTAAATCCCATGTTATTTATGAAACTCAAATGGGTTATATTTGGGCATGAATATACAATGCTTATGATTTTTTTATCTGAAAGTGAATGGTAGTATGATATTTCGAGATGAGTTACATTTGAACAATAAACTAGCGTTTGCTTTCTATGTACTAGCTTTATGAATTTTTTCAATCATGAAAGATCCTTTATACGTTCTATCCTTATGAATTTATTAAATCGAGGACGATCCTTTGAACAGTAATTATAATCATTTGGAAAAGATTGCTCTGAATATAAGTCTTTTCCTTTTTGCTCAATATGCTTCCATAGGATAGGAATACTGCATCTGTATCACAATCAGAAAATATATAGAATAGGATAGAGAGATTTATCTATTGCTAAGAAATGTAAAAACTGTTTTAATAATTCTGGTATAATAAAAATTCTTGATTGTGCCATAAATAGTCTGTATTATATGTTGTATCTTCAAACGAAAAAATAAAAGTATGCGATCACCCTCCTTCGATCAAAGATCTGTGTTTCAATTAAAACGGATATGTGATTTTGGGCGAACAATATTTACTGAAATTTGCCAAAAAAAATTTCACCTAAACGGCTTATCTTCCGCAGTATCAAAGGCACAAGGGAGGAATTTATTTCCGAATTTCAGCTAACATTGCATCAATTTCAGCTAATATGGAATCCATTTCTATTGTCTGAGACTTTTGATGATTGGGCTGGCAAAGAAGCCTGTATTTGAGGTTTTGAACCATTTGCCTCGGAAACAGATTCAGATTCATGGTCAGATTCAGGACCAGATTCAAGATCAGAATCTTCTGATTCTGTATCATCTATAGCATAATTCTTTCCTGCATCATGACGCATAATCTTATGCCTCAATGCTCTTCTACAAAGAAGATCAAGTTGCTGATGAGTTAGTTTTGAACCGCCATGAACTCTGAAAGCATGCTTACCTCCTATTTTTCTTAATATTTTAGGCTCGATTTTATGAGGCTTCAGGAATTTGCTAAATGCACTAGTATTACACTTTCCATTTTCATTAAAAGTAGGATCACTCAACTTTCTAGCCTTTATAGCTTCTTGAATCCAGATGAGTAGTGTTCTTGCATGTTCTGGACCCTTTTCCATAGAAACGAATGGACGAGGCTCTGGATTATCCTTATATTTTCCTTTATTCTTAACATATCCAATACAATACCAGAAAAAACCGTTTACATACTGTTACCTAAGTAATGATTAGGCGGACTGAAACACGTAATCAATTGAGTAGCAGCAAGATTTAGCTCAATCTTTATTAAATTTTGGGAGAGACTTTGGTAAATTCGGGTTTCTGTTGACTTTGGTATTCTTTCACGATTAAGTTTCAGAATTGGCAAGTATGATGACTTCTAATCCTCCACGTAAGACAAATGATTTTCTCTGACGTAGGAAATCCTCAGTTGACGTTACAAAGTTTATTTGTAACCAAGTTGATGATGTTTAAGTAATTTAAAGATTACTTAAACCTAGATGACACAAAGCAGAGTTTATAACGTTAAGTAATATACAATTACTTAACCAAGATTTTTCACAAAGCGAGTTGATAACGTTAAGCAATTTAATATTACTTAACCAAGGTTGATACAAAGCAATAACATTAAGCAATTCAATTTTACTTAACCAAAGTTGACACAAAGCAGTTTGTTTGTTACGAGACAATTTAGTAAAGAGTTTTTATTATCTTATAAAATTAACTTTCTAAATTTCTATCGATACATGATGAAAAACTCAGCTTATTTATA